CTGTAGTGTCTCCTTCATTGCAGATATTCCAAAACCCTCTGGACGCGATCCTATGTCGTGTGCCCTAGGACGGCCCTGCTTGAACAGCGAGGTTGGGCCAGATGATTGTCCCGCCAACCCGACCTATTCTGTGATTCTGTAATAAATCCTGGTTGTGAAACCACTGTTTGCCTGATCCACATGGTGTCCTTGGCTTTCTACTGCCAAGAACCTTAAAACAAGTACTAAACACATTCCAAAAAGATAGTGACAAGCTGGGGTGCAGGGGCAAGGTGAAGGGAGAACCATGTCACTGCAGTGTTAGATGTTTTGCCTCTCTCCTTGAAAATATATTAATAAACATATCCAGGCCGTTAGTTGCTCCAGAAAATACTGAAATGAAGCCTTTGCACTAAACATAGGCACTAGGACATACCCAAAGATGCTGGACTTTAGGAAGAGCACAGGAGAGAAGAGGTACATCTGTTCTCAGGTTTCCTTGAAACAATTACTTCAGTGCCCTTAAACTACATAAGGAATGAGGCAATGGGAATGCTTGCTGGCATTTTCTGGAATATACAGAATCCAGACCTGGGCAAACAGAGCTTTGAATTAAAAGGAGGTGAAATATACATATCAATTTAACAAGCTTCAAAACAAGGTACAGGTATGCGTAAAACACAAAAAAAAGGCTAGTTCTTGGAATGAACTATGAACTCCAGCAATCTTGGAATGAATAACTTCTTTGAGTGATTGTTTGTGACCAACTTTCATCCAGAGCAAGGAGCACCAAATAAAGACCTTGATCCAGGCTCTCTGTGCAGCAGACTCCCTCGAGATATTATCAGCACAGTCATCAATGCCAAATGGCTCATAAATTCAGTTCAACAAATCCCTGTTATAAGAAAGCCTGGATGTTCAATGGAAAACTGTCCCATGAGAATTGGGAATACCTTTTTAATATTTAAAAGAAGAAACTTAGTTACTGCACCTGATTCCATCACAGAGCATTTTTCATGCAATGTTCAGCACTGAAATAAAAGTTCAAAAAGTGCACCAGGTGTGTATGTTCAGTCTTGCATTCTGTTAGAAACAGCTGGAGTAAAAAATACTTCATATTAGAAAAAAAAAATCAAATACTTTTAAGCCATTAAGATAATCTGGGAAGTTATTTTGCATACGTTAGAATGGTAATGAAAATCTGCTGATGAAAGTAGAAGGATGTCAAGACAGTTAAAGATGTTGAGTCACAAAAGAGTGACTTTGTCAGACCTTCCTATTGGTTAGATTATTGCCCTGACAAGACAGAGTTCCAGGCACCATAGTTCTCACTAAGGTAAAATAAGCGAATGGTTAAATGTCTTCTGTATGATTCTGTCCCTAGGAAGTCTCCTGGATATTGGCAGCCTAGAAACAAGCTTCAAAAACCGAAAAACACCAATGAGCAAATCCCAGCCTAACAACTGTAAATAGACTCTTAGAAACCAGGTGCACAGGGAAAGGAAAATACTGTCCCATGGTGGACATGAGAGAGTGACAAAAGTAATGTGGAGTTTCCCACTTCCTTAATGCCTCCAGCAGTGACACCCCTGAGAGAGGAAAGGTTTCAGGGGAGATGTAAACTCTAGGAATCACTCAGAAAGAAAAATGCTAGGGTGGCTGTAGGGCCCAGCTCCCAGTGAGCAGTAGGAATTTGCCATGGCAATTTCTTTGTTCCCAGCCGCTCCCATTTTACTCAGGAACCTGTTTAATATTAACTTCTTCTTCTGAGGCCCGGAGGGGGAAGTAGCAAAAGCCAGCTCCGGGTCAGGGGCAGATAGACAGGACTGGAAAGGCAGCTAACACTGCAGCAGGCAAGGAGTGAGTTAAACACTGCCCCACACTTTCACACAAACCTGTCTCCAGCTCTTCTCCAGGGCTTTCTCTCCTGCCAGTCCCCTACTGGCTGCTTCCAAACCCCATCATCGCTATTGGCAGCCATATCTCACACTGCAGAAACCTGCTGGCAGCAATTCCAGAGCTGAGATAGGCACAAGACTGCAGCAGTGCCCTCAGAGGCTTGTTTGACCTGCCCCATTTTGTCTCAGAGACTCACAGGTTCATGTTGGAAAGCTGAGCTAAAAATCCAACAGGCCGATTTTCTACTGGATTTAAGGAAAAAAATGACAAATCAAGCAAAACATCCTTACCCCTGATTTACCTAATATGACAGGCTGGACTTGGGTGCCCACTGCATAAGATCACCTTGAGGTGATGTGGAGAATTGGAAACTGAGTGGCCAGCTTGGTTACTAAGCCATCTTGCCTGAGAGTATGTCAAAAACATGATGGTCCAGATAGATTCCTACAATACTGCAGTCTTTCCAAATAGATTTAATGTAAAATAAAATTAAGTCATTGTAATTTGTGTGTATTTTTTTTAATGTTATTTTACCTACACATTTTCTTTCCAATACATCTGGCCACCCATCTTCCCAGGAAAAACATATTGTTCACAAAATCTTCAACATCCATTTATGGTATCTGAGGATGCAATCTATCATTCCTGCAATTAAATTCCCTCCAGAATGGGTAGCAGAAGTCAGAGGCAGATTGTCTTTGTAACTCAGCAAGTTTTGTTTGAAGTTTCCTTGGATGTGTTTGGTTGAAGAGACTGGAAGGATGTAGAAAGTAAGACACAATTTGTTACTGATGGGTTAAACAGAAGTTGTGAGAAATTTCTTTTGAAGGGGACAAGTGTAAACTGCAAATACTGCTTTAACAACCTATGTTTTACAATTTCCTGATTAATGGATTGCAGTAAAATCAGTTCCCTGACACTGATTACTTTAGCAATATGTTAGTAATTACTTCAGCTAGTTTAATGTTGTGCATGGAAGCTGCACAGAATCATGTCTGTCTTTTAACCTGTAAATCAGTTCCTTCATGGTCATCTAAATCTCAGCTCTGATATTTTCTGCAGAATATAAAACTGAAACATGTACAATAGCAGTGCATTAGATATCAAAGTTTAAGGGTTTTTTTAGAAGGGGACAAACATCAATTTCACAGTCCTTGTTCAAAACTGCCCTGGAACTGCTAGAATGGATTGTCGTTATAGGAGGAGACTATGGTAGTTTTTCCTGTGAACTCAACTCATGTTCTGGGTGTAGCCAGATATCTGCATCGTATAAAAAGTGGCCACAGCTGTCTTTAGACCTATGGCTTTCCTTGCTGGAGAGGCCAAGAGCTGGGCAGAGCTCTCACTCTGGGAAGAAAGAGCTTTAACAGCTGCATTTAGCAAAGTTGTGGGGGAGGCATGAATGTGATTCCTCTGCTTTTTAGGAATAAGCACAATAGGGCTCAGTCTGCAAATGCATTGTTTTATCAAGCAAGGAATTCACCGATTAAAAAAAAAAATCTAAGAGGAAAGGAATGTGAAAAATGAGAAATGTTTTTTAAAGAGCAGGGGGAAAATCTGGCTCTGCATGAACAAAAATAATCACAGAAGCTTTCCTGGTCCTGCTGTGAAGTGGCCCCCCGCACCCTGGGCAGGGAGCAGTTGTGGAGCTCAGCTGTGCCTGTGGTTAATAATAAATAGATTCCCTTGGCCAGGAGTTCTGGCCAGCGCACCCCCTCCTCCGCCTCCTCCCAGGGCTCCCCAGGCACCGCTCCAGTATCCACCCAGCCTCCCTCCGTGAGACAGACACCAGAGGTAAGAGACACCAGGCCATTGCTCCATGAGCTCAGATACGCAGCGTGGGTCACAGGGGAGGCGGGAGGAGAGCAGGTCCGTGCTCCAGCTGCCTGAAACATGCACTAGGAATGTGCAAAATTTGGTTACAAGGCAAAAGGTTGTATGGGTCTTGCAGCAAAACTTGCCAAGCTTCAAAAATCTTTGAGGCAGCTCAGGCTGGATGTTGGCCGAGCTTCCCTTGAATATCAGCTCAGCCCTGTTGGGTTTCAGGTGATGACCAGGTGGTTTTTATCCACTGGCCAGTACAGCTTGGGCACTCCTTGGTGTTGTGCTTCTGAGTTTGGGGAGTTGTTAAAATTCAGAGCACGACTCGAGCAGCTCAACCGATCCCTGGCATAACCTTGTTGGCTTAATGAATTTGTTCTGAAGCTGACTTTGCCCCAGAGAGCAAGAGGTGTGTAGGCACACATACAGCCATACCAGAACATTTGCATGAACCCACGACAGCTCAAACTGCTGAGCTTAGCACGAAAAGGATTTGGAAAGTGGAAAATCTTAGTGTTTCAGTCAGGTGTGTATTGTGTCTAGTTGATCCAGTCCCACATTTCTTAAATAGCACAGCCCAAGCTGTCCTGTATAGTTGAAGTCTTTAGATTTGGGCAAATACACTCTCCCTGGGTATAAGAATTTTCCATATAGCTGAAGTGTCACACACTGTACTGAGAGGAGAGCCATGTTCTGTTTACTGTAACATGAACACAGTACTGTTTTTTAATTAATTTGCCATCTGAATTAAAAATAGGCACAAAGGACTGAGGAAGGGAATCCTTTCCTCCTAGTGAGGGGGTGAGGAACAGGGAGACTGGAGGGATATGGCCAAAAGCCCAGGGAAAGTATGTGAAGCAGCCAGGCATTGAGAGAAACTGCCTTGAGGCCCAGACCAGACCACTCTCTCAACATTTACAGATCTCTTCCCCTCTTTCTCTGTTTGGGAATGAATTTAATTAGAGTGAAAAGGAGTTGCTAAGAGACCAGAGGAGTTCTGGAGTTTGTTGCTGGGGCTGAATTGCCACTCTGCTTCCAAGGCACTATGCTAAAAAGGATGATGTAACATGAGCCTGCATAAAGCACTTCCAGCTCTAGGGAAAGCTGCTCTCTCCTCCTTGGCAGTTCCAGTCTGGTTTGTCAGTTCTCAGCTCCTTTTTGAGCTCCTTATTTTCTCCTAGACACTGGCAAAAAACAGGTTCCTATCCCTATAGCGCTATTCTGCCTTGTAGATTCCTTCTTTGTTGCAGTTTGTTTGAGGGAAGAGGGCACCCCGGGCTGTCCCCGGAGGACCCCCTAGGCTGTGAGCTGGCTGGCAGCAGCAGGCAGGCAAGGAGACTCCACACGGCTTCTGAGGGTGCTGATCAGATGGAGGTTTATTTGGGGGCCCATCCCTGGGAACAGCATGGTGGTTACTGAGGGAGAAGGGGGGAAGGGGAATGGAGGGGGAGAGCCTAGGGGAGGGAAGGGCCAAGAGAGGAGAAGAAGAGAGAGAGTCTGGTTTCCCTCGCACAGTTTAAGAGGGAAATTCAAAGTGGGTGCAGAATCAGACTTGTGCCAATGGGATTACGGATACATGATGGTTCAGGGCAGGACCACAGGTTTAGAATATACCATACATTTCGGAGGGGTGAGACAGAGCATACCATTTAAATGTAACACCACACTCCTTGTGACCTTTCACGTTGGAGGTGGCAGTGGCTGGGTCTGACATCTATCATAAGCAGGTCACTTTGGAATTGAAAAGGTTTTCTGCTTCAGAATTCTCCCTAGTTTGTTACTCCTCATCCCTTCCTCTGCTCCACCACGATTTCAGCCCAGCATTAATGGGCCAGGTGACCCCTTTCTAACTCCATTTCTGCAGCTTAAAATTTTGTTTTGCCACTCTGGCTCATGCTTAGAACACCAGGAGATTCCAAGCCATCTGTTAAGCAAAGGGCTGTCTACCTTCCAAGGTCAAGGCAAGAACTGATACGTGTAGCTTCTTAGGGTCACATCATTGCTAAATTACATCTTTCCTTTTCACCTGACCCCTGTTACCTCAGGACCATCCATACACACAAGATGATTAGGAAGATAACCCTCAGCCTGGGAAGACACATGTCCTCCATGGCACGTGGGGCCACCCAGGTGAGAAGACTTCTGCATGGTGAGTAGTGCACTGAGTTCCTGTGGTATCCTTGGTGCTTCCACTGTTCTAAAACATATTTCCATCTTTAGGCGTGATTGCAGGGCTCAGTTTGTTCACAATAATGTTCAAGTGGAATAACAATACAATTGCAGAAATGGTGGCAGAGGATCCTTCAGTGATGGTGATGAGAATTATAATTCATATTAACAGTAGAGATGTTTTGCACACATTTCACTTACATAAAACACAGCTCTAGTCTTCTTGAAATTATTTGTAAATTCACCCCAAAGGACAGCTGAAGAGGGGGATAAATTTGTTGTGATGACGACAATTTGCTTTTTATGAAACAGCTCAGTAGTTACTGCAAATACCCACACAAATAACTCACTCTTCTGTGTTTATCCCCAGGTGGTTATGTCAGGATTCATCCCTCTGTACAGGAAGCTCTGGTGGAGGGGAGACCTGTCGTAGCCTTGGAAAGCACCATCATTACACATGGCATGGCCTATCCTCTGAATTTGAGGTGGTGGATGTTGATGTTCCTCATTCACTGAAGTTGTAAGAATGAAGCACATAACTTACTGGATTGGTATCGGTATTCTTGGTCAAGCCAAAGCTGTTGCAAGAGCAAATGGAAATGTCAGGTTGTTAGGCATACAGGCTGTGACCTCAAGTGTAAAACATTTGTATTTGGACTTTTAAGGACAAATACAGGGAGCTTAGTTATCTCCTTATCCAACACCTTAAATTTTTGGCTTCCTTTAAAATAGAGCAGCAAATAATGTCACCACTTGCTTTAAAAGAGAGCTATCAGCCTTTTCAGCTGCATAGTTTGTACAGACATTGAAAATACTCTGCAGTTTCTTTTCCTGTATCTTTTGTAATGCAAAAAGGATTGAAACATAATAACGAAATCTGTTCCTTAGCCCACTCAGAGCAACTGCTGTGGGAGCTCCTGGTCCCTTCTCACTGTCTTCTGTACCTTGCATGGAATCCCCCACCTCTACCCTTTATTTATCAATTTTCAGAAGACTTGTGTTTCATTGAGTTACAGTGCCAGAAATTGTTGCACTCTCCCCTCCATCCTTGCTTCCAGAAAGCACAGAAAGGTTTTGGTATTGATTTTCCATCTTGCTTTTTACCTGGCTATTATTCTTCCTGAAATTCTCTCTTAAAATGAAGCTCTGAAAACTCGATTTTTGGGAAGAGGTAGTTTCAATAGTTAAAAGATTGCCAAGCATATGTCCAGATAGCTCAGAAAGGGAGAAGAAGCTGCTCCTAAAAAAGATACTGTATGAACGATCAAGTACAAAATGTGCTAAACTTAAGCTTAGTCTGCAGCCCTGGAGTGCCCTAAGACAGCAGATTTTTGGCACTGTTGTTAACTCTGTATCTCACTGACTGTATTATGAAAAATATATCCTGTTCATTTTAGCAGGACTTGAACTACCTGGGGTTTCTGTGAAGGTCTATTATGTCAGAGAAATAACAGGTAAAAGATAAAGAAAAGTCCTATTTTGAGAAGATCCATATTTTCGGTACTATATTGTACAACCAGATTTGCTTGTAAACCAAATGATTTTTCTCAGAAATGAAGTACAGAGCTTGGACATTGCCATCCTTGAAAATGGGAGCTCTTTGCTTCTGCAAGTTCAAGGGCAAAGATTTCTGCCATGAGGCAGATACAAGAAGAACAGGATGTAGCTGAAACCACAAGAACTGTAGAATTGTGAATGATGGCCATCAAACATGACAGTTTTCTTGCCTGATTGTTTCCATCCATAATTTTGTGATTATTGTCTTGTTTGTCTTATTTCAGCATGGCCAGAGAGGTGGAAGAAATTGTAAGAATAAATGGAGCAGTGCCAGCCACTGTAGGTATTTTAAGGGGCGAGATCCATGTGGGACTCACAGACGAGGAGCTCGAGTTCTTGGCAAGCAGTAAAAATGCAGTTAAAGTGTCTCGCAGAGATTTTCCTTTTGTCCTCAGCCAGGTATGGTGTGCAAACTTTCTAGTGTGGTCTCTTCTAGTAAAGTATTGCTGCTTTTCTAGCAACAGTATTGTGCTGTCCAGCTTCATGCCAGGTGGCTTTTAAACCTCTCAAAAATATAATGGAAAGTGGTATCCTATGGTGAGCACAAAAGTGGCCCTAACTAGACTCAAAATACAGCAGGGTAAGCAAATTACATACATTAAATAGGGCTCCTGAAAAGTCATTCTGGTTGTGCTGGCAAGCCATGGGCACTTGGCTAAGAATATTCTTATTGCCATGATAGGACATTCTCTCATTGCATGTAAACTACGTGACACTTAGGCCATCCCAGGCTTAAAGTGGCAGCTAAAGGTGCCACTAGCTGCCTGTGGAACACCCTGAAGAGCAAAGGCCTCTGCTATCAGGGCAAGAACAGCTTATATAGCAGGGACGACAGATGATTCACAGAATCACAGAATATTCTGAGTTGGAAGGGACCCACAAGGATTATAGAGTCCAACTCCTAAGTGAATTCCTCTGCCTTTTGGCTAAAAGAGTATTTGTGTTAGAATTTCACTGCTCAGCTGCTCACAGTGCAGTGTGGCAGATCACAGCTGTAGCTGCTCCTCCATATCACCCTGGGTGCTGACTGTGGCTGGTTGTTCCCTGCCAGGGCTTGTCCGGTGGCACGACCGTGTCTGGAACAATGATCACGGCACACAAAGCAGGAATTCCTGTGTTTGTGACAGGTGGCATAGGAGGTGTCCATCGGGATGGGGAGAACAGTAAGAACATCAATGCATTCTACTTTTCACTCTGTTGCTACAGTTTCATTCAATTCCTTCTTTTCCTTTTTCCCCAACCTGTCCTACAGTAACTGTCTGTTCAGAAGACTAAAGTTAACATTCTTCTTGATCAATCTAGGGTTGCTTTCTCCCTGATGTCCCCTTTCCAGAAGTTTCCAAATATTCCTCTTGAGCCCTGGACAGTTGTTAAGGGAGTGGAAGTTTCTCTTTATCCCCTGCTTACACGGAGTTATATTGATATTGTTTGGTGCAACAGGAGCTGACTGCACTTCTGCCTCTTTGTAATGTCTGGATAACCTGATACTGCCTGCCAAGAACAGTGTTGTTATCAGCTCTCTCAGCTGAGGAGAAGAACCTTGCCACAAAAGAGTGTGCTCTGTGTTAGAGGTGTATTGTCCTCTCTGGAAGATGGCTCGGTCTTGGCTGTACAGTTTGTGGCTTTTAGGTGCTTTCTCTCTTCTCAGCCATATATATTTCCATCACAACCCAAGTGCAGTGCCCCATTGTATGCCATCCCTTTTAGATTTTTTTTTTTTTGCAAGCATTGTCAGTTCCAAACTCAAAATCTACTTCAATGGTATTGCATCTCCTTGAACCTCGTCCTTGCTGTACAACATCTTTTTCTTCCTTTTCTACCAAATTTTTGCATGCTCTTTGTCAATGTGATCAAAGAGCCAAGAGATAAGAGTACAAGGCTGCACCTCTGCCCTTAGCCATTTGACTTCTTTTTGTCAATACCTCTTTCAATCTCAACACCTAAAGTCATGATCTAAACCTTTAATATTTGCTTGTGGATCTAAGCAGTTTTAAAGTCAGGCAGTGGCATCCTGGGCCCGTGTAGCTTTTTAGGAGGTCAGAGCTCACCAGCTTGGAGTACAACGCAATCACCAACTCATTGCTCCTTGTCCCTTGGCAGCTCTGGATGTGAGTGCTGACTTGACAGAGCTAGGACGAACACCGGTGGCTGTTGTATCTGCAGGAGCCAAATCTATCCTTGATATTGGCAGGACACTGGAATATCTGGTAGGTAGCATGAGCTGTGGTGTCAAAGCAGATAAGGTTCTTTGTGCGCAGAGTGCCCAGTGGCATTGGGATGGGTCCTAAGCCAAAGATTTTCAGAAATTGCTACTGAGAGGATGTGAAGCCATATTTACAGTCCTGGGGCTGTACAAGCATTTGTCTGCTCCCTAACATAAATCTATCCATGTCCAAGGGGCTGTTCCAGCAGCTGCTCCAACTGAGGTCAAAGGTAGTGCTATCCATGTCCTTTTTCTTCGGCATTAGATTTGCTTTTCCAGGATGATGCTCCCAGAAACTGATGGATCAGGAAAGCTAGATCCATCGAACACTAAAATAAAATCAGAATTAAAAAGGGAATCAAATGATTTTCAGCAGTTACCTTTTAAGGTTTAGCATGTTGGAAACCACCAGGGCCAGCACTTTAGATGACAGCCAACACTGATATTTCTCAATCACAAGCAGAACTCATTTATATCCTGTCAGTTCATGACATGTCTTTAGATCCCAGGGTGTTATCTTGGACTCAGGATGGTGCCAATGACAGCTGCATGGCTTTGGATCAGCCCCATCACCCACAAAGGATGCACATACCTCCCCTGCCTCAGTGAGGCAGATCTGATCTAGCCACTTACCATGTCTGGCTCTTGGTGAGAGGATAGAATAGAATGGGATGTACAAAAATAACCATGACCTGTGCCAAAGGAAGGCAGTTTCTTTCTGAGTAGAAGGAAAAAGTCACATGCTTTAGTTTCCCTCCACTGATCACCTGCTTGTCTCACCTCCGCTGCTGCAGGAGACTCAGGGTGTTTGCGTGGCTGCCTTTGGAGAATCAAGAGAGTTCCCCGCCTTCTTCTCACGCCAGAGTGGCTTCCAAGCACCATACCATGTCCAGGATGAAGAGGAGGCAGCTAAACTCATTGGTGTGTTTCAGATGGCAAAGGTCCATGTAAAGTCCTGGGAAGGAGGGACACAAGAATTACCCTGGATGAGGCACTTTCTTTAAGTCTGCAGAAGTATTTGCCCTGAAAAACTGTGCCATCCCACCTCCCCCATTCCTGCATCAAAAGTGCTTTGAAAATACAGCAGCAGAGAAGTCCAGTCTTTACAGCAAGTGAAACTACAAGCCAGCTGCAGCCAGCTTGGCATGCTCATTCATGTTTTATTCCATCTGGTGAAGTGAAGGCAGCCATAATATGTGGACAAAAACAACTTCTGGGCCTTTAGAAGGGGAATCAGTTTAAAAAAGAAAAAAACCAAAAAGGCCTTTGCCCCTTTTGCTGTGCAGACAGACTCAAAATAAATAGGCAGATGTGAATTGGTTGGGGAGCTGGAAAAGATCCTAATCTTGGGTCAGCTAAGAACTGGAACTTGAGCTCTGAGGCTTCCTACACCTTGAGCCCACTCTCCTCTGTCCTTTTCCTTCAGCACTTGACTTCTCCAAGGAGTGCCACTAACAATATTCCCATCCTCTCCCAGACAGTGCTCTGGGGCTGGGCCTGAGCAGCGGGGTGCTGATAGCAGTGCCCTGTCCCCAGGAGCGAGCTGCCGAGGGCCAGGCCATCGAAAAGGCCATCCAGCAAGCTCTCAGCCAAGCCAGGTGAGAAGCAACCTAAGCCTTTGCCTTTGCTCAGCCCATGGTCTTGGGGGAGTAAAAAAATTCAGGGACACTGCTGCAGGAGCTTAACCTTGGGAATGGGTGAGCCCAGAACTTATTTTCAACTTTATCTAACCCAAAGCTTGTTTACAGGACTTGTTATGGTATGTGGTTATGGAGATAAAGTATCTGCTGGCAACAGTGCTTCTCCTCTGATGCCATTTCAGCTCATCTGTGGGCATTTCCTTTATACTTGCAGGTCCAAAGGAATCACAGGCAAAGAAGTGACCCCCTTTTTGTTACAGAAGCTCACAGAATTAACTGATGGGAAATCGTTGGACTCTAGTATCCTCTTACTAAATGGGAGGGGCAGAGGGGAAAGAAAGTACTGCCGTGTATTTTCTATCTCTTCTGATAATGCTTGGTAGGAAACACTGCCACTTTATTGACGGTCTAGCAAGGAGCAAACACTTCAGTATCTGCAAACAGATGAGAGTTTAGCACCTGCATCCTGATTTTTCAGGCACATCCTTACTGCCTTCATCCTCTTTTACATTAAAAACAGATGGCAGCTAGTCCAGAACCCAAAGAAATCCTTCATATCTGCCCCTGGGGCTTGCCTGCTCTGTGATGGAATCTCTGGATGCTGTTGTCTGTGCTGGGGTTGCACACAGGAAGGTCCCTGGGCTTCCCAGAGCACTGTGCTGTACATCACACTGCCTTATCCAACCTTCCCTGGGGGTGCAGAGAAAGAAAGATTTGGAGGACAAACACCCCTGGGTGAGCAGGAATCCTACTGCACAGCCGAGAGAAAGCAGAGGTACTGGCTGGGATGCCAGTGTAGGATCTGGGAGAGCCAGATTCACATCCAGGCTCTGCTGCCATCCCTCTAGAAGACCTGACCAATCAGGGCAGAATGGCAAAGGCATTTTTGGATGTAAAAGCTATATGCAGCCACAAAGTAGAGCTTTCAAAGACTCTGATACTCTGCTCCCAGTGCAATTTGCTAAAAAAAAATTGCTTATAGTTACTTGGCAAAATCTCAGTAGGTATCTCTCTCTGGAAAACCTGACCAAGATTCTCTAAGGTTTTTAGGCTCTCTGCTGTAATTTAAGTACTTCACCTTCTCTTTTCTCTGTGAAGTCTTTGCTTCTATTCCCCACTTATCAAAGTCAGGCTTCCTCTCTGTGGACACTGGGGGAGGAAGGTGAATTAAAAAAAAAAAAAAGAAAAATCTGAGTTTTCATGCAGCATTGTAAGCCACTATACTTGTCCCCAAAGGATTATGGTATGGGGGATCAAACCTATCAAGTGCCAGCATGTATTTCCTGCTTTCTCCCTCCAAACAGTTCCTACATAAGTTTCTAACAGGTCAGACTCGCTGGTATCTTTAATTTTCCTCAAAGAAATGCTCAACAGACCTTGCACTGATCCAGAACAATGCCAGAGTGGGCAGCTGCATTGCAGTAGCCCTCAGCAAACTGCAGAAAGCCAGAAGGAAGGGGAGCCAGCCTAGGCGAAAGGACATGACTGCACCCCAACCAGTGAGTCCTCTGCTGGCCTCCATATGATGCCTCTCTGCTGATAGCACAAGATAAATTTATATCTGTTCCCAAAAGTAAAAGATGACTCAGCCAGGGACCAATCATTCTCCTTCATGCTGTCAGACATTCTCCCTTTAGTTTCCCTTGTTATTCTTGAAAGATAAGTGTCTTCTTCTCCTCCCCTTATCCACATTTACAAGGAATAGACACTGACAGTGGCCTAACTCATTAAGTCTTAGACCATCAAGGCCATTAAAACTTTAATCACGTTTTCACCTTTTACTGAGCCCTTATGTACAGCTTAATCTCTGTAGCTCTTAGTACCGGGGAACTTGTGACTACAGGAATAGACCTGGAAGAGGGTGGGGAGAGATATTTTGAGCTGCTGAGCCATAAATATCTCTTTTTGTTGGCCTCCTGCTCGTGACTGACAAAATCATAAGAGTTACAGCACATCCCAAAGAAGATCTACTATAACTCTAATATTCTATTCACTGTCTTGGATTTTGTCTGTGCCATGTAATTTGCAGGAAATCTCTTTTAGGTGGTCTTTAGAGGTTTTCTAAAACGCATTTGCAATAAGATTTGTCAGCATAAAAGAGGGCAGTGACTCCAGAGGCAATAGCCCAGCATTTGATGAGAAAAAACATCTGTATGTCCCCAAAGAATCTGGAAACTTCCTGTTTGTGGAGCTAAACTGCTTATTCTGGCTTTGTAGGACAATAAAATAAGTGATCTGTAAAGTGTCACTGGGTATGGCAATTTCTCCTGGGAGCTTGCAAGAAATTACTGCATTTTCCTGCCCACTTTTTCCCATTTTCTTTGCTTTTTTACACACCAGTGCTTGAATGTTTCTGAGGCCTGATATATCACACAGAGAAACCATCAGCATCCCTGTGTGTCCACTGCAACATCCCACCTGACACACTGGGGCTGGCTGTCAGCAGGCATAATTCAGAAAGCAACAAAGAGAAGAGATTTTGATTCTTTCTGATTGGGATTGTACAAACCTGCATGTAACTGTTCAAAAGAAGCACTGGCCCTTACACTGTAAATGAGAGAGCTTTCAAGAGGGTGGGAAAAGTGACCAGGCAAAGCAAAGAAGATTTGGAAACTTCCTGAAGTACTTCCAACCACTTTTTACCTCTTTCTTTCCTGTTAAAGGTGGTGATTGGCGGTATCAACGTGGACTTTATAGCCAAGGCACAGAACTCTGAGATCCTGGTACTGTACCTGTAGCAGTTTTCTCAGCACCAGTGTATTTCCAGCTGCTTTTACAGGAGTGCCAAGCCAAAGGGGTTAGGGGGAAGGTGTTATCCCTGGATGATATCCATATGTGTGCATGCACACACTTGGGAATGCTGCACGCTTGATGTGTTGTTTAGATAATGGAGTGATGTATACTGACCTACTCTGTCCCCAAGGTGAAAATCACCATCCCTGAAACTCAAGAGAGGGACAAAGCATTGTATCATTCATACAGCCTCACCATAGTGGGGAAACCCCAGGTAACCCATCTCTGGCTGTCTGAGACTGTCTTAACTATGGGAAGCAGCACAAATAGGAGCAAGAGTCTCTGTGCAGAGTACTCCTGAAGGATTTGAGCCTCATACACACACAAAAAAAAACAACAAAAAAAGGAAAAAAACCCCAAAGATGGCTTTAAAAATTAGAACATTTTAAATGTTACCAGACTCCCATTGTCTCAGTTTGGATTGAACAAGAAGCAAACAAGAAGCTAAAGTGGACCAAACCTGGGAGTCCCCCCATGCAAATGACAGCTGTTTGCATGGCCTGTACAATTTTTGTCAAGCCGTAATCAATACTGCAGATTGAGGTGGTGAAGCTTGCTCAAAAATTCTTTGGTGTCTCAAATTACTCTGTGATGATAGCCAAGGCAGGAAGCTTCTGCCATCAGATGGGACAGCCTGTGAAGACCTCAGTCAGATAGGGAAAATGTGCTGGGGAAGCTGTCTGTAAGGAATTTGGCTATTAAATGATGCAGGGGCCAAACAATGTTACAATGGTCAAGAGTGAAATATCCTGTGTCATCAGTTATGAAAGCTTGCAAAAGCAAAAGTTCAGCTGCTTCAGCTGTGATGTAACCAATACCATACACGACCTACACTCAGCCGTCAGGACAAGGAGCTGAGCTGTGTCCAAGGAAAGACAGGCATTCCCTGGCATGTCAGACATGAGTGCAGATTTCTGGACCACCTACAGCATGGTGAGGGGGCCAAGGAGCAGTGTAGGTCCTGCTGGGAACAGCTGACAAGGGAAAAAGGGGGCTTTTAATGTTGCATTAAAAGGTGAGGCGTTAGCCACCCTTCTGACTTCAGCGAGCCCTAGAGCTCCTGGTGCATGGTGACTGGTACCCATGTGCTAAGCCTCAGGAGTATTTGGAAGTTGCCAGACAGAAAGCTCCTGCCGACAGCTACTGTGGTTAGGCACAGAGGAATGTTTTGGCTTTTTAAAGACACGTTTTTTTCAAAGGACTCCACACCCAGCAGATCCCACCTTTATGCCTGCTGGATTTGTTGCAGAGCATTGGGTACCACTCTCTCCTTATTCTATCTCAGCAGGAAAGCAGCTGTATTCTGACCTGGTTGTAATTCTCACATGGCTTTCAAGGCTACCCAGAAGCTAAATGCTTAATATGTAACTTATCTGACCTGCTGAGAAGGATGAACAATTTTGCTCAGAGAAAATTGCTGGAAAAACCATTATGGTTATCATTCTCTCAGGATACCCAGAAGCTGAGCAGAGTCTCATTTTCACATTAAGAATTCAAACCTCTTAGGACATGGAAGAAGATTCCAGAGACTTCCTCAATTCTCTGATACTTTGCCAGAAAGCATCAGCCCAGCCTCATTTCAGATTATTTTTAGCAAGCCCATTTTCACCTAAATTGTTTAATCTGGGCCAGCCCTACCCAAACCCAAGAAGAGATACTTGGATACCACTCCAAGTTACAACTGAGTTGGCAAGGTTTTAAGAGAGCAACTTGTTTCTTTTTCTTTAAGAGCCAGCTGCTGGTTTCTCTCTCACTGTACCCACCTGCTACTTTAAAGAGAGATTTAGCATCTTCATTTTTTTACCACCTGTGTGGTTCTACAACAGGAGAGGTCACCCACAGCTGGATCCCTGAGCAGGAGGTTGCTACATCTGCTCTTAGGGCAAGGCTTGGCATAAAAAAGGCACCCAGAAGCTCTGCCTGTGGGGTATATGGGGAACTAAGAGAGAGGATCAGCATGCCAGGCAGCAAAAGGAGCCAATGAGTATTTTCACCATTCCTGCAAGCATCAGTTTTAAAACACAGATAATGGAATTACGTAAACCACAGCTTGTGCTTATTGCTGATGGTAGCTAGCACCCTCTTTAAAGACTGAAATAGGGACCAATGTTCAAAGCCATGTTGTTTGACTCGCCTAAAAAACCACCCTTGCTTTGTATTTTGGGGTGCTGAGGTTTGGGTTTTTTTCCCCTTGGCTGCCTATATTACAGAGCGTGAGCTTCAGAATTAAAATAGCCAAACTCACTTTGCTTTTGAAATCTGCAACTCTCAGCAGGATACAGTTGCAGATGGAAATATTCTCATTCCCAACAGTACCAGTGGCAATTCCCAGGGAGCACAAGCAAAGGCAAGGGAGGGGCATTTGACAAGGAATGACATTTGCATTTGATGAGGAGTGACAAGCAGTGCAAAGATGAACAAGGGCCATCGGTTGGTTGCTTATATAGAGGCAGTTCTGCTCAGGTGGCCTGAACATTTTAGGCCTTGGAGAACTGCCAGACAGAAAAGCAAAGGTATCAAAAATTAGCACCAGATGTTACAGACTACAGAACTGGGGAGAGTCAGAGCTAAGAAAAAGAGCCTGAAGGTCAGATGAAAGAAACAGAACATCATATTTAGATGGGAGAGCAACCTCTCACAGGGCTGAATGCAGGAGAAAGCATTGTGTGCAAAGAACAGATGCACGCAGCTTCATGCAGGGGAAGAAGAATCCTTGAGGAGCTTCAGAATGAATTTTGAAAATGCCCAAGCACAGGAATTGTTGGGAGCAGAATATTCCTTAGGGTGAGATGGCAAGACATGTTCTTGGTTAGAATAGATAGTGATGTTTACAAGCAAGGAAAATGTTATGTGCAGGGGTGTTCTTGTGCACCTGGGTTGGTGTAGGGCAGAGGGACTGGGCCAGGAGCTTCTGCGTACAGGCATTAGGACTGCCAGTGGCAAGCTGACTTCAGAGATGGAAAATAGTTTTCAGGATTTTATGAAACAAGAGATCTAACACCATTTGATAGTCAGATGAAACCCAAATTAATCTGAGTACTGATGTAATTCTTCTGGCAGAAGAATGCGAATGAGATGGGTGAGCAACTGCCTGTGTTCTGACAATTAGTCTGTGACAGAAAGGCAGATGGACAGAGGAGTGGAAGGCAGAGGCAAGAGAAAAGAATTTCGTACCTGTATATGTGGAAAAGAAGGGTATTCTTAATGAGGGAGATGTTTGGGAAACAATGGGTCAGTAAAAATCTCTTCAGTCTCTGAAACAGATCCATCCATGAATAAAGTACAGAGACAGTACAGGCAAAGATAACAAATCTCATTTTACCTTTAAAGAGGGAAATAAATAAGTAAATAAATAACTCACACAAACTGCTTAAGGTGGGAGCTAAGTGGCCTGGAAGGCAGAGCCCCAGCAACTTTGGAGTCGCAGGTTGTTGTGGGCAGGTGAATTCAGAGGGCTGCTCACATTGACTGAAACACTCATTAGCCATTCTAGGAGGTTTTAGCGAGTAAGACCAAACTAGCAATTCATGGGGAGATCAAGTGGGTCTCCCCTCCTTGAAAGCAGGCTTTTGTCATCAAACAGAAGCCCGTAGATGACTCTAGAAGTTTGTATCGCCCTCAGTCTGTGAGCTGGATTCCCTGTGCTCCCTCTGACTGCTGACCTATGTTTCAGCAATATCATCTTCAGATGACAATGGAGACGTAGCAACTATGCCAAACAGCCCTCCCAGTTTTGCCAATGAACTATTCTTTCTTCCAGGGCGGTGGGCAAACAAATGCTGGAAGAGTGAGACGAACCTTTGGCGGTGTTGGAAGGAACTTGGCAGGTGCCTGGTGCTTGGGTTTGCCTGCTGGTGCATGCCAGCTGTGATCTGTCCTTTGCTATTCCTTCAACAGCAGGAGAGGGTGAATGTTGACAAGATTTGGACATATTAGGCAATATACTAGTGGGCAGACTGCCTAGAAAAGGCAGAGCCTTTTCCAAGAAATAAGAGTGGAGGGAGTTGAGATCAGGAAAAGGAAGGTCCACAAATACGAAGTTAACTAGCACATGGTGCAGTAACGCTGAATCAAAGTAAATAAGCATCAGTATCTCCAATGACTACTGAGCAGCCTCAGATTTAATTCATGCTAGGATATAGACACAATAGAAGTATGCTTACAGCGAGAACATGAAAGGAATAATCACAGTTCCAAACTGATGTTTCACAGTTCCACATACCATAGACAAAAGGAACTGGGGTACAGGAGTTACTGTAGAAGAAGAAAGGCTACAGTCCTATCCATGGGAAATGAGCACATAGTACCTGTGTCTCCACCACAAGCAGCAACAGACCAGTATTCTTGTACTGAAGTTAACAGCGACAGGTTACAAAAAGATTTTAGGATTATTCCAGCTTTAGACATTTCCCAATCTCCTAACACATATCTACTGTCACTTCAGATCACTAATGAGGAAGCTTGAGTGGAAAAAATCCCCCAAAATACCCATGGAGGTATGTGTGGTAACTTGAAAGGAGAGGAGGAAGGGTTTCCCATGAATACGTTCAGATTCAATGGTTCCAGTAAGATACCCTGGACGGAGCAGCAGTGTGGGAGGGCCAGCACCAGAAAATGCTGTGCTCAGAAGCAGCGTGGGAAAACCCACATGCCTGTGATGGTAAAGGACATGATGCCAGAAAAGAGCAGTTTGCTTCCCCCTCTTTTCCTCCACTCCCAGATATTCCAAATAATCCTAAATTTCAGGGTGCTGGTTCAGCTCTCTGTAGGACACCTCACTCAGCCCTAAGCAGTCATTTACTGCAGCTATGGCTCAATTTCATCCTGAACATCCTTTAGGCAAGTACTGATAAGCATTAAGTTTTTCAGGAGAGGGCTTTCCTAGAGACACCCATGCTGCACCGACTGTCACTGTGCTCACAGTACTCTGGTGGATTTGTTAACAGCTTTTGTTTCCATTTGCTTTTTAGACTGTTTAAGCCGTCTTGGACAAGCTCCTCTCCTTTTATCAGCTGTGGGGAAGGATGAGCATTTAGAGTCTGTCCTGCACTACTGCCACCACATGGTACGTGTCACAGAAGTAGCACCTCAGAAACTTGGAAGACTTGACATCACACAGAGGGAAAATTCTTCCCAACCCTAGCAGACATCAGAGCCACCTTCCATCAGGCTAAGAGTAGGAATAATTCAATGCTTCTTTAGCTACAGACAATTAGAAGGCAAGGAACCACCTCCAAAACACAGGTCTGAACCATGGGCTCTGAATTCAGCACCGGAAAGTGGTGCTTGGAGGAGGTAGAGGTAAATCAGGAGCAGCCACATACAATTCTAGTGAAGGCTAAGCATAGCGAGAAATATGCAAACCTTGAACCCGAGGACATGCAATTGCCAAAACCAGCCTGGTTTAGTTAAAGCCCAAGACAATGTGACACTGGAATTGCAGGTTGGACACTTCCCCAGCTCAGAGGATGGGGTCTTTGACAGAGCTGCATGCACCACTTACCTATGCATAGGGGAGTGCTTGACTTCAGCAGCAGCTTGTCCACAGGGCAGGGAGCTGGAGCAGCAGGAGCTCCCCAGGACAGCAAGGCAGAATATCATCACCCCAGCAGGCAGCAAAAAAAGCCAGGAGGGCAGCTCTAACCTAGGCCATCAGGCAACTCCATGGAGAAAAGGCAGGACTAAAGGCAAGGCAGGGTGTGAGTGCAGCCCCCAGGTGAGGCTGGTCAGGGTCACTGACTATTATTAGTGCCCTCCTGACCCTGGGATCCAAACAGAGCACATGGGGCCTTGGTTCTGGCTGCCTGAGCGACTTGGCAAATGAAGAAATATGAACTCTATTTTGAGTTATAAAGGCTTCACCATGGCTGATCTATAATCTCTTCTCTACACAGCAGTTTGTGCCATCCAAGTGAGTAGTGTCCCAAGGGAAGGTGGACTTGCTGGCCAGCCACCAAGCAATCCTTCCTTTCCTGTAATAAAATACATTCCCACCAGTGTTGGAGAGGAACCTTTCCCTAAAAACTCCAGCTTCACTGTCAGTTCCTGAGATGGATACATTTCTCCATCCACATGTTCTTTCCAAGATATGCCCTGCGTTCCCTAAGCAGATCATTGCCAGGAGCCACAAGGAAGGACACCCCACAGCTCTCTGCCCCACAGCTGTAGAAATGGCTCCAGGGTGTGCTCAGAATCGGGCTGGGCAGTCAGTGAGGCAGCCAACACAAGTCACTGCTGTCTGCAGAGTGCCACCAAGAGATGCCATCCCACACAAGCTATGAGAATGGGTGACTGGAGCAGGCAGGGCTGCAAACCACTCTTCTCTTACAGGAGACACAACCTGTGGAACTGCATGGCAGAGACCTGCCACTCATTTACTAAAGGATTGCTTTAACCTGCAGCATTTGTTGCATTGCAAATATTAACAAATAGCCACGTGCCAGCATTGTCTAGACTGAGATACCCCTGCCAGGCTGCTTATACCAAGGGAGAGCAGTGAGCTGGGCTGGAGACTAGGTGGGCACTGAAAGAGTGAGCTGAGTGTGGCAGGGAGGAGGAATGTGCTCAGTGTGTAACTGTCCTCCCTGTTTCAGGACATGAGCGGCATCCTTCAGCTGGAGGGGAAGAGCACAGCCACTTACTGTGCCGTCATCACCAGTGCTGGGGAGCTCAGCATGGGCTTGGGAGACATGGACATCCACCACCAGATAACAGAGCAATATGTATGCATTCCCTCAGAGTTATGAGTTTTTCTTATGAGAAGGAGTGTGGGCCTGTGAGAAAATGCCACTGGTGACATTTGTACCAGGAGGGAATGGGTGTGCAGAGGGCCTGGGAGATGCTGAGGTTAACCCCGGACACTGGCCACTTGCACAGCAGCATAACAAGCCACCAGAGCCCTCTATTACCACTGACCCAGATGGAGTTTCTATCTGTTTCTGGTTTATAAATATCACTACTACCATCATCCATGATATGTAGGCCAGAATCCTCTTCATTAACTTGTCCAAGCTAACTTATAATTTTGCATCTTAAAGCCAGCAAGAAATCCTGATTATAACTGTAACCCTAACCCATATTTCTTCCTTTAGGGAAAAGCAGAAAAAAAAAATGGACAGAACACTGGTTAAAGCAAATTTTCCTGTTCAATCCCCTCCCTACCATCCCTGTTGTTTCTACACGCTGAGTTGTATCAACAGAAACTGTTGCTCAGCACATCCAAACATTCAAAAACATCAGGGAAGCATAATGGCAGCAGTGATTAAAGAGTGATTCAGTGAAAACCCCATCACTGCATCCTCCTTCTTTTATTGACAGAACAAAAGCTTGTGCGTCATGACTGACAGCAACATGGAAGTTAAGTGCAATTTACTCACCAGTGGCATCTCCATGAGGTGGAGCTTTCCTAGGGAAAAATCTGGTTATTACTCCCACTTCCATCCTCACCCTGCCTCCCCAAAACCTTGCCACAGAAAACCATTACATGAGGGATTAATTCTCCTGAGCTTTACAAAGCAGCTGTGATCAGTGGAAATTCTGAATCAGTCTTGTGCTGCAAAGTGCATTTTGGCAGCCCCTCTTCACACCAGGACTGGCAGAGACACGGGGAGGATTCTGCTCAAGTGCCCATAGCACTGGCCTGGCATCCCAGCAAGTGGTTGTGCAACCTCAGTGAGCCAAAGGAGAGAACAGCAGCTCTCTACTCCACTGCTCCACTGTACCCCATCCCTGTGGGATTCAGGGGGACCCAGGAGTCAAACACTCTGCTGAACAACCTGTCTTAGGAGACACTGTGCAGAGAGGACATCCAAATGGCATGCAGAGAGCAAAGGTGCAGTCAAGCCAGGCATGGCCCAGGGAATCCTTCAGTGGCATTAAACAGCAGCATTCCATTTCCCTGTAGTGGTCCAGTCTGGACCAGCAATTATCTTTCTCTGCTGGGAGGGCTCTGCCAGTTAAGTCCAGCCCTTAATGACCAGGAGCAGGGAAGGGAGAAGGGGAGGAGATGAGGCAAATGGAAAAATCCATTTTCCTTAGGGAATCACTCTTTTAGGTTCATGCCTGCACCTAAAGGCTGGAATGCAAGTCAAAATCCTACATGAAGTCTGACTAGCAATGATTTTGTCCCTCTGCAATGACTCAGGCTATCTTTTCTGTGTGTCCTGAATTTTAACTAGGTGTCCCAGTTCAAGGAGAACCTGTGTCAGGCCCCACTTGTTTGCATTGATGGAAATGTGCCTCTCTCCACTATTCAGTACGTCTGCCAACTAGCTAGAGAGCACCAGCTAGCAGGTAAGGAGAACTTGCCCTCACAGCATGTGTGCCAAGACAGTCCAGGCACATCCGTGCTGCTTGCTGGAGATAACCACTTACTGTTTGACTTGCTGGGTTATTCAGCACCTCTTTCTGTACCCTGCCACTCTGCTTCAGATGTGAAAAACATTTCAGTGTTCTCTGCAGTTCTCCTCTTTCTGCAGCTCAACCACATTTCCTGAGGCATAGTTGGTAAAGCCCTTGAGCACTGCCAGAAGGCCAGGGAATGCTGCTCTCTGAGCCTTTTAATCTCAGTGCAAGTGGCAATTTGAGCACTTCTGCCAGTTTGAGCAGCAATATAGTTTGCTTCTCAGAAAAGACACTAAAGCATCTTCTGAGAGGAATTGTCTTCCATTCCCATAAAATAAATGCCCCCCTCCACTGGTATGCTGGGGACCTTTCACAATGCTTCCTAAACTTTTAGAGTAACACCTTCCTTTTTAAAAGCAAAACCCAAAGAAGGACACAAGGACACTGTGATCTAAAAACCTGGCAGAGACTCCAAAACCAGATAACTGGAGGAACAAAACTGGGGTCCGGTTATATCAACCAGATCCAGAAGCAGCTGTCTCATTGCTGGACACTGAGAAGGAAACCTTGGGAGACCTTGTCCCAAGTTTGAGAGACTGTCTCATAATTTAAAGGTGTAACTCTTGTTATGCAGATTATGCTAAGTGTTCTACACTGCATCCTGCTCTGACACAGAGATGAACCACTAATTAATTAATTAACTAACCAATTGCGTTGTTGTTTTGAAGTGTGCTATGAGCCAACAGATGAGAGCAAGGCCTCTAAGCCATTCCTGTCAGACAGCTGGAAAGCACTCACATACATTTCCCCCAACCTTCAAGAGCTGAGAGCAATAAATCGGACCCTCGGGAACCCTCTGCCAGCAGGTATTGAATACTCAGAAGGGTCAGTCAGACTTTTAGATAACCTAGATCCTGGAGAAGAGCATTTTCTGCTTCAGCCTCTAATACAGGCAAATTAGGTTATAACATAGTGGGGATTCATAAGTGCTCATGGTATCTTGCACTTTACTGCCATCTCTGTCTGGGCTGTATGGACTGATGACCCATCAGAGACAACAGTAGGCCTGGCATGGCTCCTTGCCCAAAGCCAGAGGTCCCATTTGCCTCACTTCATCACCTAAACAGGAGTAATACCTGGTTTGTCAACTTGTCCTTGAAGCATGGTGCTAAGAGGGCACCTGTCCCAGAAGTACCAGCATTTGCAGATATAACACGCCCCACCAAATGCAGATGGAAATGCAACAGCATTGAAATGAGGAAGCCATGCTTCAAGACAGCTTTATGATCTCTATAGACACATGCTTAGTCCCTTGAGAACTGGGTTCCTCAGCATAGAAGTAGAGTGTGGAAGTCTAGCTCTGGAGAATTCCATGTTTCCCCTAATATAAAGAAAAAAAATGTTACCAACCACATTTCAGAAGGGCCCATAAATAGCAGTAGAAGTGCCCATAAATAGGCTGTCAGCCCACAGACAGGCTGGTTGAGGACCTTTACATATAGAGCACATTTTTCCCTCCCTTCCCTCTGAAGAGCTGCCATCCAGGTTGGAAGATGTTGTCCAGGCTGCAGTGGCCCTGGCCTGCCCTTTGCTGGCCCATCTGCACTGCGTGGTGGTGACCCTCGGTGCTCACGGTGTCCTCCTGTGCGGCAAGAGCCTGGGAGGGAGCATCTCCCTTTATCCAGGAGCTCACAAACAGGTAAGGGCATGGAAAACTAACGCTGAGCTCTCAATTGCTTCTTTCTTGGACCATATGGCACTGTTGCTATTTCTGGTGTCATGGCAGCAGTCCTGGGAAACATGGCATCACTGCTGGAAAATGTATGTGTTGGGGGGGGTGGAATACACAGCTCTGAAAGAAAATCAAGTTGTCTGTTCCTGTACTGCTGGCTCTTAGCAGCAGTGTTTAGAGTCAGCTAGAATTAAATGTGCTATGTGAATATTCATGAGTGCGAGCTTCATTTGCAGGAAGCTTCATTTAAATGATCAAAGTGTGAAAAAAGATTATTGCCTTTTTTTCAGCCTTTTCTTTTTTTGCCATCCCTGTGGATTTGGCATCAGGCACATCAGGCCTTACCAGCTTGGGCAATTCCCACTAACTTCCCTTCCCTCCCCACACAGGCTGCTGCTGCCAGGCTCTGTGCTGCCCACTACCCTGCCATCCCCATCAGCAGGGAGGAGATAATCAATGTCTCAGGAGCTGGTGACAGGTATATCCTTGCTGCTTTGTCCTCTCCAGCTGCATGTGAAAGGCCTATAATCGGGTTCATTTGAAATTCTCCTGGAAAAGCAACTGCTGCTTGAGGAAGAGACACTAAGGATTAGACCAGGGCTGTGATTCCTTGCAAAGCTTGCTAAAATTGTCCCCCTGAGCATCTTGGAAGCCAGGCTTGCCATTATTAGTTTTGCTTTTCTTCAAGATCCAAGCCTTTCCTGGCAATCTAAGAATTCTGAATTACTCTGGGCTGAGCTGCTAAAAGCAAAGTAAACCACCTTACATCAAAGCTGTCTTACTAACTAACTGCCTTACTTCCACACTTCTCCAATGGAAGTGGAACTGCCACTCAAGAGCTAAAATGGCCCTGTAAAAGCATTTCATCAGGTTCTGCATTTGCCTCTGGCAATTTTGAAGCCCTTGCTTCAAAAGAGTCTGCGGTATAATTCGCCTGACTGTTCACACAATGCCATACATAGAAGTGGGAAATGACAGCTATTATTCCTAGCCCCATTGATCAATTCTCAGTCTGTCAGAGTAATATTTTATTATGCTCCTTGTTAACTTGACAAACTGTATGTAGCAGTCAGGTTGTTTTTTTCTTCTTGCTTCACATGTTGCAATAGTTGATTCTGTCCTTTCATTGCCTTGGGCTAGACCAAAAGTCTGTATGTGGCAGATATTTCCTTTTCCCTTTCTACTCTTACCTAGCAATAACTCAACATAGCAACACTTTTTTCTCTGATCAGTGTCTAGAATGAAAAGGTTTTTGTGGTTTGGGTTTTTTTTTAAACATAGAGAGTCCTCAATATTTTACTTAAAATCAGTCAATAACTTCTTGCCAGGCTGGTGCCACTTAACACCAGGACATGCTGTTTGTGTCCCAGATCACCTCTGAGGGGAGCTGACTCAGCTGCAAGCTGGTCTTCTCCAGAGAAAACCACATGGTTGTTTGGAGCAATAGGTGTAATAACAGCAGAGGAATGGCGGCTGGAGGAGTGTCGTGGGGTCAGCCTGACCTAAGGAAAGCTCAGCTTTGCTCATTACCGTGGGCAGATGTCCCCAGCCAGCCCCTGCAGGGACACAGCCTCTCCTCTGCACCATCTGCTCGAAACACAAGTACTCCTTACTGCCGGACAAGGTTTTTTCTAGAGGCTAATATAATGAAACCTCCTTCTTGGGGGTTCCTTTTCCATTTTAAAATTCAAGGGAAGACTGAAGGTGAGATAAAATGCACCACTGCCAACCACCTCCACTGAGTTACACTACAGAACATGGAAGATTGTTTTTCCTTCCAAACCTATCTGAAAGCTTGGGGCCCATTACTGCTCCCATTCCTGAAGTAACACTGGTCTGGAAATTCCGCTCCACAGAGTCCCCAAGGCCATGTGGGGGAATTTTTATAGCCCCCTTGTTCATCCAGGGTTTTTCTTCCTAATAACCCCAACTGCTCCCCAGAACTCTGAAAACCCCTGCTCTACAGAGTAAGAGTGCCAAAACAGACTGGAAATGCCAGGACACTGCAATGCCATACAAGCCATCTCCCCTGGTTACGTGTCCCGAGCCCAGCTTGGTGGCACTTTGAAAGGACTATTGTAGAAACACAATGGTTTGGGTTGGAAGGGACCTTTAGTGGTCATCTAGTTTGAACCCTTCTGCAATGAGCAGGGACAGCTGCAGGTTGATCAGGATGCTTGGAGCCCCATCCAACCAGGAATAGGGCATCCAACACCTCTCTGTTCGTGTTTCACCATTCTCATGGTAAAGAATTTTTCCCTAATATCTAAAATGTAACACTTTCTCAGCTTAGACCTTATGAACCTTCACACTTTAGAAGCACTGGTCAGGAGATAATGCAACCCAGAAACAGTGACCCAGGGCATTTCATGCCTCCCCTCCACCCTATGGCTCTTCTACAGCCCCAGAGATCTGCCCGTGAGCTGAGCATGTGTGCAGTGTCTGTTTGCTCCTTGCCCCCAGCTGCCATGACAACCTAACACCACATGCCCACACATGGCATTGCTAGGGGATGCTCCCCCAAATATTTGCTCTCAACTCCTGGAGCTGTTGAGAGATTGAACACTTTGTGGAAGTCATAATCTTCTGTGCCTTTGTTATAGATAAGAAGATGTTGATGTAATTAGGTGGAGTGCAAAATAAGAGCTCTTTTTACCTTGCTCATAGATTTACTTATTAATCCTCCCTGCCATCACATTTTCCTGTCCTTGCTTCTTCCTCTAAAATATGATTATCTTGTCAGTTCTCTTTCCCTTCTCTGTCATCTCTTAGCTTCTGAACATTTTTACAGTAGTTGCCGTGAATAGAGTAGTTGCTCCCAATCTATCCCAAACACTGCACTTACATCACTTTTACTGGGAAGTCTCAAATGAAAAACCATAGCAAATGTTTCCCAAAAATCTGGCTTTCCAATGTAATTTCAGCTTTGGATTTCTTTTTCCAGCTGTGCCTGTTGTCCCTCTCACATAAATACAGAAACTTTGTCTCTCACCCCATCCAACCCTTTGGGTGAGGAGGCACCAATATAATGAGGACATCATAAGGCACCAACAAAGATGAGATTAGTTACAAAATAACTAGAGAGCAGGGGAAAATTAGATTCTTCTCTTCTTAGGCTATTTTCTTTTCTCCTGCCTCACCTGGAAAACTGAGGAGAATAGAAAACATGGTACAAGAGGAAGTACCTCAACTTCTCAGATGAGAAGAGCAAAAAATGCAAATAAATGACACTATTTGGTACTCTAAAATAGATACAGAAAAAGCAAAACCCATTCAGTGTAACCTCAGCGTTCCTATGTGACATATTCTGCTGCTGTAAGTGCTGGTTGGGATCCAAATGAAAGGTCTCACAAATGAACAGCCACATTCCTGGGTTCAAAGCTCTTCTCCCCTCGTTCAAAACCATCTTTCTTTCACTCCACAGCTTAATGGCAGGAATCCTTGCAGGGGTGCTTGCTAAACATGACACAGGCACATGTGTCCGGATGGGTCTGCTGGCTGCCAGCTTGTCTCTCCGTTCCTATGAGCCCATTTCCCCAGAAATCAGCACTTCCAGTGTCAGCCAGGAGCAAGTCAAGAGCAGGAGCTGGCCAGAGGCGAAGGTATGGAAGATGGACTAGAACACTGTGGCTTTCTCATCTATCACCTCATTGCACTTGCAGCAATCCTATTTTCAGGAACTGGACTGTGTTTTGAGCTTTGAGAACATTTATCTGCTTTGGTCCTGAGTAAACCATCAAGAAAGGAGGCCCCTACCCGAGGAACTTCTGTGGAATGGAAAGTTGATTTCTAGTCTTTCAGACCTCCTGGTTTACTGACCTCCAGGCCTTCCAGATTTTCTACTGAGGGAATTTTCTCTTCCTTCACCTTGTGTCGCTGTTGTCACGGTAGCTCCTCTGTCTTTGACTCCTGGATCTTCAGGACCATGTCTCTTCAGATGAGCCCAGCAGCAACATCTGCTCTTGCTGCTTATTCTTTCCTATCCAAGAGTTCCCATGGTTCACAACCTGTGGCAGGGTGTAGCTGGCAGGAACATGACATGGTAGGATAACCTCATCCATCTTCCCAAGCCAGCCAGCACACACCACACCTTCTTGCTCTGAAGTCCAATGCCCCTGGAGAAAGTAGGCAAGACAAAGTAAAGAAGAGTGACCAGGGTCCAGCTAGTGGCCTTTAAAAGATGACAGCCCCTTGTTCCACGTGCCTTCCTTCTTGGGTCTTGGGGCTTCCTTCCTCCTTCTTTAGTCCTGAGTATCAAGTCTGAAGCAAAAGAGATCAGAGGGAGCCAAGGCATCTCCCATGGAAGCCATGAGGAAAAGTCACTTTCTCTAAGCCTGTAATGTGCACAGAATGCAACTGCGGGTGCCAACAGATCGGTGAACACTGAAACTCATTAAAACTGATTTCTAGCAGAGTTGGGTCTTGGTGCTGGCTGGTTCCTAAACCTGACTGATAGTAAATCTGGAGTACAGACCCACCCTCTGTTTCATCCAGAGACCATGGTCAGACCCCTTGGCTGAGGAGCAGCTCCCTGGTGTCTGACACAGCACTGAGGTCAACCAAAGCTTGATCAGGGCAGCTCTAACACCACTCTCCTGGGTAGGCTCTGCTGTTTAACCAGTGAGCTCCCACTGGAATGGATGGAGGCATTAAGTGGGTGCCTTTCCTCCACCTGAGGCTACTTCCACCAGGCTCATAGCAACTCCCTCCCATTGAGCCCACCACCTTTCCATCAGACACACAAACATTTACCATCAGCTCTCCTTTACTAAAACCTTGTTTGCAACTGTGGTTCAGCTGAAAGATTCTGTGCTCAGATGCCATGCACCCATGTGTGTACCCTAAGCAGGGACAGGATGGCTGTGGCAGAAGGGTGCTGGGATGTTTGGGAACACAAGGGAGGGGGATTGGGGCCCACGTAAGCAGCTGGGTTTGCTCGCAAGCTGGGAGGTGGGACACAGCAGGGGCGGGGGAAAAGGGCTGTGCCCCCAAGGTATGTCCCTCCACTATAAAAATTACTTTGGCTGGATCCAGAGTGAGGGGAAAAAAGTAGCTTCCACCTCTGCTACTGACTCCAACAGCCTTGTCCAGGTGGGAGGACCCTGAGCAAAGGCAGGATCTGAGGATGAATGTCCAGGCACTGGCAGTCACCACATTCCTGCTGCTGCTCTGCTCAGTCCCAGCACTGTCTGGGGTACTGGGGAGCCAGGCTGGCAACTTGGAGAGGCAGGCAGAGGCTGGGTTCCCTGAAGAAGCCCCTTGGCCGCCTGGAGATGGAGGGGACAAGCTGCCTGGGCAGGGCTCAGAGAGGACCCACCCTCTGGCCAGTGCATGGAAAGTGATGAGAGAGGCACACCCCAGCTCCAGGTCCCTCAGCAAGGCCATGGCCAAAGCTCTCCTGGGCAGTGGGGAGCAGATTGCCCCTGGCAAGCCCTGGAGGCTCCCACTGCAGCCCTCCCGCAGCAGGATGGCGAGGCTGAGCCACCTCCTGAAGGACTACGGGAAGTTCAACAACGACATGGTAAGCACAGCGAGGGAGAGGGTTTGTGCTGAGGGGTTGCAGGGTGAGTGGGGTACCAGTCAGGATCAGACAGGACAGCAGGAGCAGGACATGCTGAGCATGCCATGATCCTGCAAACACCAGGTAGAAAAGATGTTTTTGAGGCCATTCCTCTTAAGATGCATGTATGGTGCCAGTCACAATGTGGCCTCTCAACACAGTGTGGGTCTGGGTGATGAGAAGGGAGCGGGGCAGGGACACCCCCAGATCCCCAGCTGGTACAGAGGAGCTTAGAAGCAGAAGAAGGCTTAGAGCAGAACTGATGGCTGTGAGCAGCTCAGGAGGAGAGTGCAGGTCTGGCTGCAGTTGTTCCCATGTGCTGCCCTCAGAGCTGCAGGGACAGTTCTGCTCCAGCCCCAGCCGGGTTCAGGAACAGGAGGGAAACATACCCCACAGTGTTCACTCCCCACAGTGCTAACAAAGCTCTCCAAGCTTTGCAATGGGGACACCATGCCCTGATGGGCACAGCTCTTCTCAGCACTGCCCTGAGGGAGGCACAGTCTTTCTCTGCCCATGGGAAATCTGCTCCACAGGCTCAGCACAGCATCCCACAAATAACCAACTTCTCCTTTATCAAACCCAAACCACACTTGGTGGCACATAAGTAGACCTTGCCTTAACCACAAACCACGGGTGACGCCGTGCCAGATGCCACTCAACTGGGGTGGGTGCCACCACTGCAAAAGAGCAGAGGCACTGGAGGGGTGTGTTGTGGCTGTGGTGGTCAGCTTAGAGTGCTTCCAGCCAAAACCAGTAATGAACTACCCCTGGAAACACTTCCTTGGGCCCCAGCTTCTCCAGCTCCTTGCAGTGAAGCTGCTGCTCTAGATCCTGGTGAGCTGCTTGTGCTGCAACTGCAGAGTGATGATGCAGCTGTGACTGGGCTGGTCCTGGCTGCCACGGGCATTGCAGCCACCACTTCCTTTCTCCCTGCAGCACTCCTGCCACAGCATCCAGTCCCAACCCTGCCAGAAACCCTCCGACTGTGGTGGCTGCCTGGGGCTCTACACCTGCAAACTGCCTGCTGGCACCTGCAACCTGAAATCTGTCTCCAGGCAGAGAGGTGAGTTCTAAGTCTCCTGGCAACTGGCACCAGGGATCCCCACATGCAGCAAAGTGCACACACACCCCCTTGGCTGCAACACTCCAAGCCCAAGTCTGACTGCCCCATGCAGGGCTGGGTCTGGTCTCTTGACTGCCCAGGGCTGTCTGTCTTGCCAACACTAGCTACAGAATCAACAACTGCATGGTGGATGGGACATTCCCAAGTTTCAGGGAGGACTGGGATTTCACAGGAGTCCTGAGCTGTTGCAGGACACCAACAGCCTGTGCTGGAAAACCAAGGAAGGGTACAGAGCTTGGGATTTAGCTTAGGAGTCATCAAGTGCAGTCCTGCACATCACAGGCCCTGCAGAGCTGCTCACATTGGTGTGTGAGAGCTGTTTAATTAGGCAGGAACTGTCAGGGAGCAGAGATCACAGCTTTTAATGTTTAACCAGTGTCCTCGTTCTCAAGCACCCTTTGGTAAATCCATACTGCCCCCAGATTGCCTTCTTGCCCCAGCACGTTTGCCTACACCCATGTACACATGGTCATGGAGTAGCAGCTCATCCAAGGATACTAAACACAGAGACCCAGCTCTGGTGCAGGAAACCCCTGGCACGTGGAGTAGGCAAGTTTAATGTTTGTGTACAGTACAGTGTGTGTGTGTGTATAGCATTTAGGGTATCCCCAGTGTATGTGCTCTGTTCATGGTCTTTGGTCACCTGCTGCTGGCAGCCTCCATAGGAGGACACACAGACCCATGGTCACACCCAGCACAGATATGGTTTTATGGCTTTTCCTTACAGGTGGCTTCCTCCAAAGCATACAGAGCCCTTAGACGGAGAGTCAAGCTCATCTTGGAGCAGCACAGCTCAAACTAAAGCTGAAGAGGTTGTCCTGCAGCTGGAGATCAACACTTCCTTTCCAAGTTTCATTTTAAATCCTTAATGACACAGTTGTAAATGTTTCTTTCATTGTACTTCTCTTGCTACTGCTTTTTAACACTCCCTTTGGATTTTGTACACTATGTAGGCTTCCTACTTTCCTGAGAGCAGCCAATAAATGCACTGAGTGGTCATGGAGCCCTGTGCTGGCAGAGCCCCTTGGAGCTCCCCAATGAGGCAAACAGGGCTATTTCACAACCCTTTTTAATTTGAGCCATTAGGATATTGCAGTAAAAGCTGCCAGGATCTCAGCATGCTCACACACCAATTCAAGCTGAGCTAAGCATTGGGCAACCTGGGATCCCTCCCTGCTCCTTACACAGGTCCTGCCAAGGAAGGCCAAGTCCCATGCCGTTGAAAACATCACTTAAGGAGAGGAATGTGGAGTCCCCAGGAGCAGGCTTGGCAGTGTGGGACCATGCAGGAGACCTGCTTCTGAAGGCTGGAGCTGAGCCACAGATCAGCTTTATTTAGCATCCCACAGAGCTTTGCAGGCATCCTGGCCACCTTTACACATGTGGGGGTGACCCCAGCTTTGCAAAGCTTCATAATGTTTCCATTAAAAACCCTTCTAAAACAAGAACCAAAGCACAGCATTTGATTCACCTTGAACCCCACTGCAGTTCCCTTCAGTGAGCCACCAGCAGCTCCTGTGACTGTGAAGTGGCACCAATTTTGTTCAGCACACCCAAAGGGCAGCCCCCCCCCTCCACCTGGTCATCTCTGAGGGAGGGTGGGGATAGGGAGTAAATGCTGCTGGCTTCTCTGAGCCCCTCTATTGTTGCTTCCTCTGTCCCTGCACGGAAGTTTGTGCCTCCTGCCTGGTGTGACACCACGGCTGTCCAGCATTTACTGTGCTCACCACAGAACCACAGAGAGGCTGAGGTGGGAAGGGACCTATGCGGGTCACCTGCTCAGGCAGGGCCACCCAGAATCATTTGTCCAACCACCTGGTTGCATGGCTTCAAAAGCTTCCCAGAGCAGCACTGGACCCACTGTTCTGATCTGGTGTGGAGGAATGGAGATGAGGTCCTCTGAACCCCACTGCTGGTCAGAAATGTCTTCTCACCTGGAAAGGCCCATGGACCACAGGCATAATTTTCAAAGCCTGTGGGAGTCCCATGCCACCCAGCATAGCACAGCTGCAGCAAAGGTACCCATATGCAGCTTTCACCCTGCAACCCCACAGCAGCTGGGAAAGAGACTCTCCTCCCAAAAGCAGGCTCAAGGATCCTCCAGGTGCTCTTGCCCTCACAAGCAGTGCAAGAGCCTCCACACCAGCTGGAAGAAAGCCCTCACCCTGCCTCAAGCTCCACTCAACTCCCCTGACACCTCCTCACCGAAGGAGGTCACCACAGACAGAGGAGAGCTGAGCAGGAGGCCCCACCTCCTGTCCAGGCAGGAGCACAGAAGGCAGCAGCAGACACTCTGTCCTTGCCTGTCCCCTACTGTGCTTCCCAGCAGCAACACCCACGACAGCAGAGAGCCCATCTGACCTTTGGGAAGCAGGTCTCCCAGACAAGATCCTGCAGGTGAGCTCCACCTTGGGCACTCCTGGCAAGCTGCCAGGTGAGGGATTGAGGCCACCCATCCTCTGAGATTCACAGGGAAGCTGAGGGCCTGGCCAAGTCAAGGGTCCAGCTGCTTGATGTCCTCTCTGGCCCATGCTTGGCGCTAGGTGGGACAGTGGGAGCACACAGCTCATCCCTTTCCACGAAAACACCACGGATCCACATGCCTTTTACTCAACTTGCTTTTAATTACACTGCATGAGAAAAGGCCTTGTGCCAAGACTCCCTGGTACAGCCACCCAGGGAGCTGGCTGGCCCATCAAGTCCTCAGTAGGTTTAGTGGTTCCCCTCACCCTTTTCCCTTGCTTGGAAGCTCCTCCTGGTCAGTCCACATCATCCCTGCAGCCCTCAGTGTCCTTGCTTTGCAGAGACCTACTTTCACACATCTCTGCTCTTTCCCTCCATGCCCTCTTTCCCTGCTCAGTCCAATGGGAATCCTGCTTTGGCCTCTGGCAGCACCAGGCAGAGAGGAGGCAGGGCAAGAGTCATTGGTTAATAACTGTTCTAACCGCAATATAAATAGAAAAATATAACCAAATAAAGAATTGACTAGCTAAGAGATCCAATCCGCCGGGATGCCTGCAACTTTCTAGTGCAGAGTTCAGAGAGAGTGCTTGGTCCAGTGCTTGCTACTGTAGACATCCAGAAGCCTGTCCCGGCAGTCCCAGCCATCCCATCTTCCTGCAGCACCATGGCTCTGTGCAGCATGTCCCGGCCGTGGCCAGCATGCCCAAGGCTGCTGGCTCCTGGG